CGAAACATAGATGTTCCTTACTGAACCTCTTCACCTCTGTTGCTTATCGGTGCAGACTATGCCGCCCCACTCAGCTTTATCAAAAAGAGTTCATTACTTTAATAGATACTTTATTACCTGTTTCTTTGTTCAGTACTCGTTTGAGGGGAGAGGTGGCGCAGTGGCACGTGGCGCTGGTCACTAGGCATGCAGGCCTCGGCCAAATTCGCTTTGTGACTACTTAATTTGCTGGCTTACCGCGTGTCAGTGTAAGGACAAAATCTCATTCAAATGCTATAAAGATTCTAAAAAGAAGTAGAATGCTTGTACGAGCCCCTAGAACATTCCCCTTCCCCAAAAGACAACCGGACTAAGCCGAACGCTTCATACCTCTCATTTATTTTGACCGCACCTCGTTTCTGCATGAATCCTGGAGAACAAAACCAGCACATGAACCAGCAACTAACCCTTTGGCACAATCGTCATCGCTTCAGTCGTAGGCTAACAAGGACGTGTTAATTTGAGCGCAAATAGTGCTTGTTAGGAGTGGGTGTCGCAGCACAGAACGCTAAAAGCCTTCCATTTTGATATATAAGCTCTTTGCAGAGCAAAACGCGTTCGCACACCTGGGAGTCGTTCCCTAATTAGAAAAACTGGGGCACTGTTGCAGGAATGAAAACTCGCGCAAGCAGAGTCAACCCTGCGTTGCGCAGTTCGCAACGGCACGTTGAGAGATCCTCAACGCACGCTGTATGGGCGGAGACGCAGACGGCTCGAGCATGCGAGTGTGAATGTTCGCGCGAGAGAACGTGTCTAATCGGGCGAAACTGCGCAACGTGGCCGTTGAGAACTGCGCAACGCAGGGTTGACTCTGCCCCAAGTCCCCACCCATCTCTATTTACTACACCAGCGCCATAAATTTGTGTGTTCGGAATCACCATTTGCACTTCCAACGCTCTTCACGGTTATATTTAAACAGGAGTTGTATTTAACATAGCTCGTTTGTTTCGTTCACATCCCACTTTCTTGTGGATTTTCATTATTAAACGCAACTGGTGAGTGGCGCCACTCGCCCGGTCCGGGAGTCAAATTTCGGATCGATTCGCTTAGGCCAACGAAGCCTTTGCACTTCCAGGGTCATTTACTCCGTTCCAGAATTGTCTGAGGGAACGAAAACACTGGGATGTATACCCGCCAGTCGGCTGCAAGTCACTGTATAGGTCGTGCTGCATTCCAATGCCACTACGATACTAAATGAAGTAGAGTGGTGGCGTACCTCAAAAAATATCGATCAACGCCAGAGCTTTTTCCTTTTCAACGTTGTGTATTAGTGGTTTGTACAAAAGTGTAACTTGCCTTGAAGCTAAGTTTGAGAGTTTCTCCTCCTGATTTGAACCTCCACATAGATGTCCTACTTATATACCGAAGTCTCGACGAGCTCATTTCTATATGGATTCTGTCCTTGAACAAAACCAAAATCAGAAAATGAAAAAAGCAAATAAACGGCCAAAAATCAAAAAGGACAAAGTCGCATTCATATGAGCTGAAGTGAACTCACATTAATATCTGTCACAAAGCTAACTATGTGTCGCATAAGCAGGTCATTGTTGTAAACTTCAGCAATGACATCAGGATCAGCTACCGGTGAACTGTAAGAACTCTTAGCTTGGCTCGCACTGTGACCCGCATTGCCTGGAATACGCAGGGTTTACTTAGACATGAGACGTGTTACAACTACTTCAACAGTGTGTTTGAAACAACTTAGCAAAAAAATGCAACTGCTCGCATGCTCCAGCCGATTTTTCAACAACAGTGCTTCATGATCGCACGTTGAGTATGAGTCACTCGTACCGCCTACCCTGGCGCCCATAAATACCGCCCCTTTTAGTCCGCTTAAATAGCTCGGCTCGAGGAGGCAGCAGTGTCCACGAGTTCTCCGGCAGTGGTCTTCTATCGAGCACCGGCGGCCTCCAGACAAGCAACAGCAATCTCACAAGCACCAGTGCAATCAATAATCGCAGAATAAGTATCGGAGCAAGCGTCCGCTAACCGCCATTCAATAAAGGAATAGTAACAATCCATATCGTATCGCTCTACAGACATCCCAGTAGAGCTGGCAAGAGGGCCACTTACATCGCAATAGGCACGCATTGCATAAGCCATGAATCCTACATTCATCACAGGACCCATCATTTTTCGATGGGTCCTATGACGCGACCATGCGAAACGGTCACTGCCGTTGATCCTCCGCGTCGGCATCTGAGGGGACGAATCCCCCTAGTCTCGACTAGGGGGATATATCCCCTGCCTGCAGAGACGCAGAGGGTCGACGGCAGTGACCGTCCCGCACGGTTGCGTCATAGGAGCCACCGAAAAACGATGGGTCTTGCGACGAAACGGGGATATATCCCAGCCTTGGGGACAATCCCCAACCTTGTGGATATATCCCCTCGTTAGGGCTTGCTGCACCCGGCCCCTGTTGTCCTTCAGCAATGATGGTGGACCCTCTGATTAAAACCAGTTACTGCATCAAGCAGGTGGCCGACGCGATTCATAACGGGTGGTTAACTGTTCCTAGTGGATACTACTTGAGTGTGACAGTACGTGGAAGGCAGTAAGGAAGAGAATGCCGACACAGCCATGAGATGGATGCGGACGATAAATTCATGTAGAATTTGGAATGGGAACTCGCTTCTAAATTCGCTGCGTAGTCCATATAGACCGCATACAACATTCTTCCACTAACCACCAATTTTCAGAGAACATGATTATGGAGACTTGTGCAACTAACGTACCAGTAACGTTCGTTGTAATGAAGCTTAGAAAGTTTATTGAGATCGATGAGTTCCCGTCTCTCTCATTACTCGATTCCATTCGGATGCCTTTAGTAGGCAGTTCGGTGGCAAAAGGGATCAAATATGTCCATGTTCGCTTAACTTCGCGTAACAAGACTGCGCGATGTGGTCTGCGGGGTGGGGAAGGGCGGCGAGGTGGAGGAAGCAGTATGTAGGAAGGTCCCTAGGACCAAGCTTGTGAAGGAGAAGCACTGCGGAGAGAACGAAAACTGTTTACGCACCTCGGAGTCCCACTTCTCCTCTAAGGCTTTATCCTAGAAGTGAGCTTTTCCGGAACCCGCGATGCAATGTTACCGGCTGTCCCCCAACCAAACTGCGCCCAAAACTCCGATGGGTTTTGATATCACCAATTATCGTCGTCCAAGTCGACAATTGAGACCCATGTTCATAGCCCTCATCTGAGTGGACGATCTGAGTGAATAACATCAAAGATCGTACAACTTTATCTCTTGAATGGATGGATTGGTCAAAAGTCCTTAGGCCGATGTCAGACTTTGCAAATACGAGCGTTGCACCAGCGAATCGACCCATGGGCTAGCGGGTCGAAAGATGTACCGGCGACTCGACACTGAAAGTTGACTCAACGTTTTAAGGAAGCCCACTTTTAAGGAACACACTGTTTGGAAGTAGCGAGACTTCCTTTGAATGTTGGGTCTCGCGACTTTCAACCAGTGTTGAGTCGCTGATAAATTGTTCGACCCGCTGGCGAATCGCTGGATTTGCAAAGTCTGAAATCGGCCTAAAGGTGCCAGAATCAATGTTAAATAGATAGTGGTCCTCGGGTTCCCAACGGACAAGACCGCAGTTGCCCTAGAATTCAAATGGTCGCCGCGAAAAACTCGTTCAAGAAATAAGAAAAAAAACTCAAATTGACATACCTTGTTCAAAGGAGTTTGTGGTAACGAAGAAACAACACACTCTTGCTGGCTCGCTTTCCTTGAACTTTCCCTTGCTCATAAAACAACTGTAATCGTAAAACTTAGCGTTGTCATCGCTCTACAAAAACAACAACAAATAGGCCCTAAACAAAAAAAAACTGGAAGTGAGAAAATGTTTCTGGATCCCACTAATACCCCCAACTGATACCCTGAGCAGTTTTGACAGGAAAAGGCAGACAGCTAGGGGTGATACTGCTGAATATGGCAAGAACGAAGTTAAAGACTTGATGAAATTTTTAAGAGGCTCTGCTTTTCAGGTCTTAAAAAAGGTGCCAATAAAACCGAACAATCGAGGGCTTTGGACGCGAGACAGCCGTGAAAAAAGGGAAAGCACCTGTCATAATGATAACGCATGACAAGGAATAAAAATTTTGACATATTCCCCTCTACGCCCTCGCCATCCCTAAAACTTCTGCAACCTCTGCGCCTCCCTTCCGCTTTACAAGTTTCCACTGAGCGGGAGGGTGAGTAGTACGAAAGCGTGAGTGATAATTTCCAAAATCCTAATCAGTTTCCTAAAATTCTCTGTTATCGAAAAATCTCATGACTATTGATAGCTACAATACACCCCCCCACCCATCCCGGCAATGATGCATGCCTAACTGTTGGAAACTTACTTTAATAGGAGAGAATCACCATCTAAAGTCAGATCAAGCCAGTGTTTTAGAGCCAAGTGATTTTGCCGGCGGTTGGAGGGTGGGCCTCGGGGGGAGAAAGGCCCTGGGGACTACGCCCACGAGCAGGAAAAAATTCGTGATACGAAAACTTGTTTGCATACGGGATTCGTTCCTCTCCAAAGGCGTTTAGTTCCTTAAACTGAGGCTTCCCGGGACCCTGACGCGATGTCCGTGGTCGTGCCCTTCGAGCAATTTGCCTATTAATTGTTCAGACATTGAAATGTGGGGACACAATTAGTTGTGGAGACAGTAGATGATTTCGTATACTGCGATGAGTGCTCCAACTCAATTTGCATGTGGCAATCACATGGGTGGGTCGGGGAAAATTTGTAGTGGATGGCTTATTGGATGTTCGGTGGTTGGCATTTCAATCTCTATTCCGTCCACGTTTAGATTAATCGGACGAGGTGGGTTCGCGTTATATTTGTTAAGAAAAATGGATCTTTCAGTTAGGGGGCACCCCAATGTGCCAGTTTGACTAGTGTGGATAAAATTCAGGCTTTTCATGCAGGTCAAGTAAATCGCCCTCCCCGAATGTGGTTTTGTAGACAGAAAGCATTTGCCGTATCTGCAGCGCGACATTTGTTGCGGAACGATCACGTCAAGCTGGCATGGGTGGACGTGGGTGGACTGGTAGCTGTTTACCCGGGAAAATGTTCTTGAATGCAAAAGCGGAACATTCGCTTTCTGTCCTGGTGACAACCACGCGATTCCCAAACTCTGTGACGCGGTTTTTACGACTACTGAAACTTTTTTATGCTCTGCGAATGGCGGGACCACAATGACTAGGTCACGGCGCACTGCTTGGCTACGATCTAAGTGAGGGTGAGAAAGCCTAGGACAGCCTGTAGGTAGAGGGGGCTTTGAGCTGGGTACCAATACAGTGTGGGAAAGGTTTGATGTTGTGAGGTAACGGTGGTCGAGGACCGTGATAAGGCAAGAGAACGCGAGACGAAAGGTCGAGTGAGCGCTTCAAAGGACCTAGGTTAATAGTCCGTAGAGCCCCCAAAGATTGGGCTACACTCCTGGCTTCGGAGTTATACTGGGCTTTCTGAAAAATGCATCATGACCATGTCGCTACTGAATAGGCCTAAAAATTCTCTACAGTATAGTTAAACGTCTATTATTATTAGGAAAGTTATATCCGGTGCTTTGCACAAATTCCTGACAATTGATAAAGTTTTCGAACCTAAAAGACTCATTCTATTTCCAGCCATTTCGGTGCAGTAGTCAGAAATGTTCACAATCCCGGTGAAGACAATTCGTTCAGGTTCTCGGCGCAATGTAGCTCCCGGGGGATGGGCAGCTTATTAGGCCGATGTCAGACTTTGCGAATCGCGCGATTCGCTAGCATCCGCGGTCGCGTTGCGGTACCAGCCGATTGAGTGATTCACTGGCCGCGAACGACCGCAGACGCTAGCGAATCGCGCGATTCGCAAAGTCTGACATCAGCCTTATATTGCGTCGGATTCACGGAAACGCTCAATTTTATAACTAAGTAGAGTAAAAGAGGGAATGCTAGGTGCATGAGCTTCACACTCTCCGGAATTCGTTCGTCTCCGTTGATCTTAGTCCAGTGGCCCTCCTTTAGGGTCACCACGCCTCCCCCCCAACCATCGCGTTCGCACTCTTCCAAAACTTTTGCGACCTCACCACCATCAGTCTTAGGAGGGTACTCTAGTGACATCCTCTGCTCCCGATCACCACCCTCACATTCATGACTGTTACAGTAATTGATTCTGAGACGAGTCGGCACACCAAGCTCCCTCCACCTTTCCCTCCAAACCGCGATCGAGCTGCTGGTAAATTGGTATGGCGACAGTGCAGTCGAGGTCCACCATTTGTGCGTGGGCTCTACCTGACTTTCCGGCGAAGATTTGCCAAATGTCAATAGCCCAGGTCAAATACCAACCACTTCTACCCACACGGCGGGAATCGCGTAAAGCCCAGCTCCGCGGCCCAAAGATAGTCAGCAGAATTTGTCAATTACGTTTAAGGGCAATGGTCAACCGAAGGCTTGGTGATTCAGTGTTTTGTAGTGTTCTCTGGGACTCTCGCACATACACACTATTACAGCATCTCTGCTTTCTTTCCCTCCTTCGAAAGGCTTAGTCCCAGAAATGTGCTTTTCTGTCTGGACTCGCACACGTTGGTTGACCGCTGCCCCGTAACTTGTAAAACAGTTGATAACCAGAGAAAAGATGCGCTCGAACCAAAAGTGCTAAGTTTCGTCTGCTTCCGGGCGACTTTTCAAAGTGGAATTTTCAGCGTTATAATAAGCACTTCATCTATCGCTATGCATAGCTACTAAAATTCGACTTTCCTGTGTTATTTAGATTTGGACCATATGACACAAAGTAGAGGCATGGCCGCGGCGGCAAGCAGTCCTCTTGGACTGGACTGTTTACGAATTTCTATAGATGCGATTCGTTCACAAGCGACCACAAGACGGTTAAAAACATAATTCAATGTTCCAACGGCAGAGGTATATTGTTTGTTTCTCATTTCTAGTATTGAGAATAGTTATACGAACTATTTGTTGTGGTTTCGCTTGATGGTACACTAAGGCAGCTCCATACTAGGTTTCCTTTGCACAGCCGACAGCGCTGCTTGTGACGGGAACCACATATTCGGAAAAACGTGTCGGAGAAAAAAAAACTTCAGCGACTGACAGAGATGTAGCCACCCTCCAGAGGGTCTTTTACTTGGGCCTTTTCTAGTAGGTGGCACTGCTAGTACCTGTCAGTGTGAATGAACTTGACAATGTTCCACAATCAATCATCTTGATTCCGAACTACGGTACCAAAATAGCCTAAACCTTGGACGCCACGTCCATTTGCCAATGCCTCGCAGGCTCAATTCCTTGCTTCAGATGTCTGTGTCCGATCCGATAGAGTTCAAGCCATGGGTTCAACACCGGCAGCTCACATCCATGACCTAGTAGTGTCAAGATCATCCCGCATTTAATCTTGCTGAAGCATACGTCTTTCTGCTGCCAAGATGGTAGTAAAGTTTGGGTACCACCTGAATTACATACGAATTTCCAGCAAATCTATCAGAAAATCCTGTCAGACCTATGGTTGGATAACTGTCGCTTTATTCAGCTTGCGACGCTTCGAGAAGACAAATGAAATGCTATCAAACTGCACACACTTGAGTGAACGCCGTCTAGAAAGAGCAAAAAAGGATGCCAATGTCTACAGAGAAACCATTATGCAGGTAGATTCACTTTTTATTCTTCGATTTGAAAGAAGGTCTGATGGCGAGTATAAAGGTAATGCAATGGGCGGTCAGACTTCTTTCGGCAGAGGTCTTCTATCTTGCTATTTCTGGAGGGCGTTTAGCACGTTGACGCTAGTCTTTTACCACGTCTTCCCTGCACAAAAGTCCTGACCCTCGGATGCGAGTGTCCGACTATGAACTATCCAATTGAGCTAACAACCTAGTAGTTATGAGCTGAAGCGGGGCCGCAACAACGTTTCTGTTCGTTTTCTTGTTTTTCTTCGTGCTGTGGGTATACCAACAACTATATACAGCTAAGCAGGGAATGTTTGGCGCAACCTAATCCCGTCTTACGGTTGGTGAGCAATCGTGAAACCGTGATGCTGTCCGTTGCAATATTCATGCGTCAGTGCTAACCAGGGAAGGATGGTGAATCGAAGTGGCCATTTGAAATAAGGTGTACAAACCCTGGTGTAGTCTGAGACGCTGATTTCAAATCTGTCTTCAAAATCTGCTGAACGACTCTCTGAAAGAAATTACGGGGGGTGTTTAGAGGGACCGTGACTGAGCTACTCGGATAATAGCTGCGATCGGCTAAGTGTGGTGTGCGTCGATGGCTCAACAGGTATGTGGTCTGCTTCATGTTATCACGGTGGAGGGTTCGGATCCTTGCACTGACGAAACTTTTGCATTTCACGGGTAATATCCTTTGCACATCTACAACCAGTTTTGCACAAGTATCCTGTTCTATATACCTGGAAGTTTGTGTTTGCGAATGCGTGTCGCCTTTTCGAAGCGTAATTGATGGCGCGGATGGCGGAGTGAGTTTGCTTGTGCTGGGGTGGTGGTGTTATTCCTCGGTGTACGGAATTGTTTGGCGAGAATGGGGTAGGTTTCTTATGGGGGGTCCTTAGTGATGCGGTATCGTATGGCGAAGTTTGGGCGATCAAGGAATGACAGACAGAAGTAGTGGTTACGCAGGTGAGATAGTGGTAGAAGTGACGGGCGGAGTGTCGAAGCCGGAGGGACAAGCGCTGTATGTGCAAAGTGGGAGTTTGGTGGGAGAGGTTGCGTTGGAGGGGGGTGTGGCGAGGTGGCCTGGCAGAACCGCAGAGGGCGAACAGTCAGTGTTAGGTCACGTTTTTGGCGGAATGGGGGGGGGTGGGGGGGGGATGGAATGATGTGTGCTGCGGCAAAGGGTGGGATGCTTATCGCAGCTGTGGTTGAGGGGGTCTGGTTGGAGCTGGGTGTGACGAGCTAAGCGGGAGCATGCCTAATTAGAATGGGAGCAGAATATGTCTCGGACAGTGGTCCACTGCTATGTGCTGTCGGAAGCGAGATGGTATGATGTAGCTGCTCTGTGGGCGACTGTGAAGATAGGGGACGAGAGTTTTTTTGAAGAAGATACAGGCGGAGATGTCATCTGGACTCGGTGAAGACGGATGAGTGCGGTTCGATGTGGCTAGGCAGGAGGAGTGGTTACTCTTTCGCCAGGCAGCAGTCTCGTGTAAGAAGAGGTTTGTGGCCAGTGCGGGTTGGGCGAGTAGGGCAGAAGTGTAGAATTAAATAGCGTCGTGTGCCCTGCATCGGGGTCGAGTGTGGCGAGGGGTGGGGTCGGGCTGGTTGTGGCGGGAATTGGGCGGGAGGGAACTTTGTGCTGTTAACGAGGTGTGGTGGGTAGGACATTCAGTCATTTGGTGATGAGTGTTTGACTGTAGGTCAAGTTCTAGGTAAGATATGTGTAATGCGGGAGGGGCAATAGGAGTCGCAGAAATCAGGTGGGATCGAGTCTTGGCGAGAGGGGCGACCAGCGCGGATCGCGGAAACAGAACTTCAGGGTATGATAGGAGCAGGGAGAGGCTTGGTGCGCAAAAATAGGGTAGGGATGTGGGCAGGAGGATGGAGTTTTCGGGCCGTGAATGCAAAAGGGGGGTCGTTCAGCGCAGGGGCAGAGTTCGGACCGGCTGGTCAGCCGTGGTATAGATGAAGCAGACACATACTAGGGTTGAGGCGCATCGGACGAGGCGACATCGCTCCCGACCCGGATCGGACTGTGCTTGGCATTGGGACACTAAGCTCAAGGCACCGGCGGCGGTCGGCTCTAAAACGCCGTGTGCGTTGGAAGGTGGTTTCAGAGAGTCGGGTCGGAGATTTGGAAGGCAGATTTGAAATGGGCTCGAGGGCGGTCTCGGCGAGTACTGACCGAGGCGTTTGCTGGGGGGAGCGTGTGATTGTCGAGATGGCACTTCGATTCACATCCTCCTGGTAGGTAGATTGTGAGCCGCTGTCCCCGATGTCGTAATTTTCGGGATACACCGGCATTGGCGACCAGGAACTTCAGAAAAAGCTACGTTTTTTTTTTCGAAAGAAATGCGTTATTTGACACAGTGTGGCATTCCGTCTTAATCTTATTCTTGTATTTCTGTTCGCGCACGGTGATTGGGAACTAGACATGGTCCGAGTTTTAGTGTTGATTCAAGAATTATTATAGGACAAAAAGATAGAAGAATCCACGATAGGCAGGAAATATTTAGTGCATTTGCGATGAATCGGAATTGGAGTTTATTTCAGGAAGATCGATCTCTTCAAAACAAACTCTTTCAACAAATTACCCTGAGATATACAGTGAAGGTTTGTACCGTATTGTGTCACAAAATCAAGTCATTAACGAAAAATTTGAAAGAGAGTAACAGTAACAAGTTTCAGCAGAGAGTCAATGCAAAGCTAGAATGTCAGAGGAGAAAGACGAGTAGTTTTGCGACAAATGGAGGGACATCTCCCTAGCCGAGTTTTCACAGATAAAACGTTTTCTTAATGCTTTTTCTTCTTCTTCGATTTTTTATCATCCTCAGAGGAACTACTTGAGTGCCTCCTTCTTTTCCTGGATTTCTTTCTGCTATGGCGGTCGTTTTCGTCGTCAGAACTACTGAAAAATTGCGAATAGTTAATATGTCGGAGTTTAGCACAAAAGCGATGATCTCACCTAGTACTGTGTTTCCTATGTTTTTTCGTCTTTTTATGTTTTTTCTTGGATTCCTTCTTTTTGTGTTTCTTCTTATGCTTCTTCACTAAAATATGTTATGTATGTAATGCAAGGCATATAGAAACTCATGATTCGGGTAAAATACTTTACCGAGAGGTGTTTCTGCGTCGCTTTCGCTGCTGGTTGAGCTTACATCAATGACAGTCGACTGGCCAGGTTTTAATTGAATGTAGTTCCGACACTGAAAAGCCCCGATTATTACCCATAAACATGACCATGATGAAGTTACTAGGCTCACCTGAAATGGAAGATGCCCAGGGTAGCCGCATTTTCGGCACGCACCCGTTACGATTTGCCTCACTTTAGCGAGACCTGTTACATCTGAAAGGTATGAACTTGATAATTCTGCAATTAAACTTAAAATGCACTTCTGCAGAATTGGCTACATTTTGTCGCATTGTAAATAAGCATGACCGATACATAATACGAATTAATGCAATTATGAGAATGTTGTCGTTCAAGATGTCTTGTGAAAAATAATATAACCAAAACACAGAAACACGAGATTAATGAGTAGCAGACTGATATTTGTTACTTTTTACCGCACGTGATTGAAACTTCATACTGTGGCGATGTCACAAGTCCAAAACTCCAGGAATTCTTCATATAAGCAGATTTTAAAATGTATACGGCGTATGAACATCATTGGGTGCAAATTCCAATGCCACAGAGGAGTAAAATTTCAAAATATCTGTTATCACTCTAGCTTCATACAGCTAAGATTCATGATTTGTAAACGCGAGGTGCCATCGAGGTTTGGCGCAGGGTATGGACGAATGAATCCAAGAAAGTTTCGCTGTGATGTGTGAAACGAGGGGTCTGCCTGTTTTTGCGGGTGTGTCTCTCGGCCACAAAATTCGCTCTACACAAGCAGTCATACGAAGAGATTGGACCAAGTAAGTGATGACGTATGGTCATGACGTTTGGAGCAGCACATAAGGTCAAAGACAAATGAGAAAGCGAATAAATTAAAGGTGGAGGAGAGGTTAAAGATCCGCGGGAGACAGGGCGTACGCTGAAGTGGGCTGATGATCAAGAATCACAAGTTCATGAAAAGTTTAAAGAAAGCTTGAAGGCTGGGTGAATAGGTTGGGTGTAGAGGGGTTCACATCACTGGAACCCAAGTAAGGGACGCAATAACGCATGGTGCTGAAGTGGCATATTAAATGATTATATATTTAAAGAGACCCACCTCGAGTGCCACACTTGGCAAATGAGCTAAACCGATGGTGTAAATGATCTGTTTGTAAGAATCAACAAAATGACGGAAGTCTCATAAGCGAGGCCTTCCTGACTGCAAGACTGTGCTAAAGCTCCTAACGAGGATTGGCGGTCACAGAAGCTCCCTCTGGATCCCGATACGCACAATTGCATCGCGGATTATTTAGTAACACAACCAAAGTAGTAACCCAAACAGCCATAATAAGGATATTGCTAATATGTTTTTCCCTCACCTACAAAAGCATCCTCATCTGTTGGAGCTGACACAGCAGCTGCCAAATCAGCTAGAGTGCGACTGCCTGAATTAGTGCTCGTGCCTGGTCCTCCGAATGCCCTTCTAAAGGGTAATGGTTCCAGGTTCGAATTCGACATTCTTCTCCAACTGCAACAATCCTCTAAAACATCAATAACGCTGGAAAGTCCGGCGAACACCACCAATATTACTAAGAAGTTAAGAGAACGTGGAGGGTATTGGTGGCTGCCCATAGAACAAATAACCAAATTTTTGGTAAGACATGTTTATTAGGAAAATGCTGAAATTCACAAAATGGTAACAGTAGAAAACGGTAGCAACCCTTTCCAATCAGGAATTCTTTTTCAACATACCGGTACCCAATGGAAAAAAAAAGAATTGAAAAAGAATATATACATGAAAATGTAAAATCAAATAAAACTACAGTTTTGAGTCCATCACAACTGTTCTCCAAAAATAACAGGGCATACGATGTCGGACGTTGAAGTAAAGGTCTCAAATTGGAAATGCTGAACCAGATAAACTGAATAGTTAGTAGGACATGAACATTACAACTGCAAAAAAGATATCAAACATATCAGCTTATAAATTCACGTAACGACGTGAGATCAAAGTGAATGATGAGGAGTTGTAGCATGAAAAGGATTATAATGTAGAGGTGTTGATGGTGTAGGAGCCTGTACTGATCCAACTGCAGGTATTGGTTTTGAAGATGGGACCTGAAGCACGAAACGTAATGCCCAAACGATAATGAAGTGAATTATTAAGAATATCCGCACAATGACTAAATATGTATCTTTCTCTCTAAACATTGTCTACAAGAAAATGATCAAAAAGCCAGAAACGAAAACCAAACAAAGCGATTACAGGGGCCGTAAGGTATGCTTCCCCAAACAGGAGAGGGACCCCTCCCTGGTAAGGTATGCTCTCCCCGAAAACTCTCGGGGAAAGGCCACGCCCACCGGTTCTCGGGGATATCTCCCCGATTGACATGCAATCGGGAGATATCCCCGTGATTGACATGCAGTCCGGGAGACATCCCCGAGAACCGGTGGCATTGCCTTTCCCCGAGAGTTTTCGGGGAGAGCATACCTTGCCAGGGAAGCAACCTTACGGCCTTGGGAGCTAACATTAAGAAGTGATATCTCTGTGATAACTTTCTGATTCCTCTTATCAGAAAACATCCGGATTGAAAGGATCGATGGCCCATTTTCACGCCGTCAATTCAAATGCTTCTACTGGGAGTCAACATATGGGTTTTGCCGTTTTGCTGGTACATTTCGTTTTGCCTAAATTTTGAAGCGTTTTGAAGCAGTGCAGGTATTAGTGATACGAAAAATACTGTAGCAACGTAGAAGGAAAGCCAATTAACGAGTGTCACAGGGTTCCCTTCTATGAAGCAACACCCCCAGATCGATTTGGTGGGGTAGAAGCGGTCGATAATGAAATTGTGGATGGCTAGTTGACTCAAATGGAAAAATAAACAAAGAAAACCGCCGATGAAGCCCTTAAGCAAAGACACCCCTTTCCCTTGAAATAAGGAAGAGGTGTGACCGGACGAGCTGTCCGAACTAACTTGCTCCGCGTGCTAACCTCATTTAGCTCGTGCCAGCAAGTAATGCAGCTGCAATCACATATCCACCAATACAAACAAAGACATATACACCAATACAAACCAGAAAATACAATAATTAAACAATTTAAGACCAGTCAATCGCGCAAGGAGCACGCAACCAATCACGCCATCTCCACAGCCAGGGAGTGGGCGGATCTCACGAATTGGCACCTATCCAAATCCCTCATTAGCCTCTTTCCGAGTTGAGTTTTTTCTTCAGCGACACTTAATATGTTCTCGAAAATTGTTCACGCATCTGGTCACCCCATTAGTAGCGAAAACATGAACTCATCACGAGGGTACTTTAAGTCGTGTTGAAACAAACGATCCTTCTGATTATTGATTTAGAAAACAGTAGCGAGTAAGATAATAACATGGACCACTCTAATTCGAGTGTCACAAAGTCATATAATATAACTCACTTGCTCGTGATCAGTTTCTATGTTTTCGATAGGCTTTGGCATTAGTCTCTCGCGCAGCTTATTATATTCTCCTATGAAGTAGTCTAAATCCTCATGACCAGCACGTGCGAAATACTGAAAAGAAGGCGGTTGGTAGATTAAACACAACGAAGACAAATAAAAACAAATCTTCAAATGCTAGCAAATTCACCTCTACATCATATTCTTTGAGCATTGTGACACAATGAGGCTGACCCCAAATGTAGCCTATCTGACTGATCAGTTTAAGGAGTTGATATTTTGCGCAACGATCAGCCTGGAAGACAAGTTCTAATAGGCAGACCCACTGTAAAAATTATTGCGAAGGCACGAGTCGCGATCGTGTAGGTGGGTTATTCCGCTCAAATGGAGAAGCGAAGAGAAGAAGTGCCAGTAAGGAGGAAACAAGAAAAAAGAACCGCAAAAAGCACTAAAATCAGGGACCACTCTCTCTTGTGAGGTCGACCGTGGTATAAAGGAGAGACACAGCGCAGCGAAGAGAGAGAATACACGAGAAACAAGACGCAAGAAAGGAAGCAGACATCGAATATGTCGCGAATGATTAGAAATGGAAGCATTCAGAGCAAGGCGTTAGCGCCCTTGGCGCGCTTTTGGATCACAACCGTCAACCTCGCCTGTACTCAGGAAGCTGTAAACTCATTCACGGAGAGAATTAGAGACCTAAGTGCGACCCGCGTATCCGGATAAACTGAATCACTACTTGAAAGAAAAAATATGAGGACTTACAACGAGGTTTTTAAGCAATACTTGCTCTATTATGGCAACATATATAGCGGAATCTACCAAAGCTGGCTCGAACTGATTTGAATAGATGAGGCGTTGAAAGAGTAAGTGGCACCAAACACTGCTAGATGCGATCTGTAATTTGTCCTTAAAAAAGCCAGGAGCTTTTACCCTAAACATTCGTGTTTAGATGCCTACCCTTAAAAAATACGACACAACATTGTATGCAGACTTTTTTCAACCACTTTACAAATACGTATGTAAAAATTTCTGCCTGATGTTATTACAAAAAAAATTCAAAAAAATTGGTAAAATTGAAAACAAAAGCTATGTCAGGTAGGCTAAGAAAAGTCGCAGAGAAAGAAGGAAACCAACATTATCTCTCAAGAAAGGCAGAGCTTCAGCATATCGTGAAAGTCCACGTAAATCGCCCACTCTCTTTTTACTAGGAAGCATATCGAGGCAGCAATGATACCACAGAAGTGAAGCAAGCCGACTAGCCTGGAATGTACTGAGTTACTACTACATAGCAGTTATAACGTGATACCTACCAAACAACAAGATGATGTTAACATGTGAATACCTTCAAAAATGTGATCAAGCGGTCGGACGGTTTGGAAAGAAAGTTGCTCACAACGAATTCTTCTCCAAGTTCACCTGATATTACCTTGTTACAAGTAGAATTCTACTTTTCATATCTACGTAAAACAAAACCGAAAGATGGGAAAGTAATAAAACAAACTGTTCGTGCGCATAAGCTCCGCTCTGATGCAGTCCTCCACCATCAAGGAAGTAAATTCTGGGAGAAACTTAGTTATAAAAATAGAATCCACAACCTCAGTAGGAAGCACTTTTCTCAACGCCAAATCCTGCAAAACAAAAAGTAAGACAGCATAATTAGCTGATGCATAGCTCAACGAACAAGATTCACTTCAAAATGGAAAACATAATCATGGAGGATAGCGAACCTTTGCGCAGCACCCCAGAGACAAGACACGCACTAGCACAACCACTGAGTGCATATCACGCGGCAGGTGGGCTCCTACCTGCAAATTCCACATAGTATTGTGATTTGTGCCTTACTGCTTAAAAGACTGCCTCATCGACCTTCGAATTAATGCAAGAATCCAACGAAAGCTGCAAAACCTACTGAATCGCGCAGCTTCCTCACGGTTACGGAACAAAGAAAATGGATTACGTGAACGTCTCCAGCCACCATAGCCAAATCAACTGCTCTCTGAGAAATCAAGCAATAAGGCAAAAATCGCAAAGCACAAAATGATCCTCAAACAGACAAACCTCATGTGAAGATTTTGGAAATGTGTCAAGAATGTGACGAAGTCTATTAGTTTGGTGGCTTTCCAAGTGTTTATCGCGCATGCATGCTTCCAAACACCAGGCGAAATCATGACAAAGATCTGTGTAATAAACGATAAGATGGGTATTCAGGATTTAGATAATAAGAGCATACCTGCCTTCACTATACCCTCAATACTGGCATCGTGAGCAGCCATAATCAGCTCATACCTAAACATGAAAATGACAAGAAAATTAAAGTTAAAACGAACGCTGAAAGGGCGTTCCAGCGCTCCAAACGGTGCCAGCCCTATTCGAAATAGACGAGTGCGCCAACCATGACTAAACCACTAATAAGAAGACCGCGGACCGAAATACCCCGCTTCTGGCATACCCTGTCAGGCTTTCAGTGCACCTACGACGTATTGCTATCCGCCCCTTCAGCAAGAAAGGAGAGAAGCCTCGGGATTCTTCGAATCGTTCAAAAAAAAACTTGTTTCCAAAATGTTCGGCGCATAAAAAAAAGTGTGTTGAGTTTGGAAAGCTATTTCACAAAACGATTACGCTCGAAGAAGTCTTCCTCTCCGCTTAAGGAATTATGAAATACAACCCTGGAATGAACATAAATGTTTCTTTCGCACGAACCTCAACGAACAGAGCATGACATCGCCTGTGGCGGCAAATAGCTCCCTAATATACGTCATCACAGCCAGGAATAACTCTTCATGATTTCCAACAAACGTGATCAGATCTGAAATAATTCCAGTTAACTACTTGGCGCGAGTTTAACTAGACAAAACTGGGAAAATTTCAGAACCTTTAATCTCCTTCCATTGACGTCGGGCTTTTGTGGTCTCGAATGTGAAAAAGTTAGTAGCCGTCGGTTCTGCAGACAACAACAAATCTTCTTTCCTTCTGAAACATATTCGATAAAAAGCAGGAAGTGGAAGATTTGAGCAAGAATTAATAAAACTACTACTCACTTCAGGTATGAATCAATAGATGGCCGATACGCCTCCTTGAATAACTCAAGGTTTCGGAGCCAAATCTGCTGCTTCACGGAAAGTGGACATGCATCGTAAAAGTCACGATCGTTCATGATACTATCCAGATAACTAGAACAAAAAATCAGAAAAAAGAAGCTTTTGAAGGATACGAATTCAAAAACTTAGATTTTCAAATTAATGAACCGTCAAACTGTTTAGAGATATTTACTTGAACTCACCGGTCTTGGAGTTTTGGCAACTGCTTTAGATTTTCGAGCACAATATTGCGGAATTGAGGGAGGTAGAACAAGTCGAAACACTTTTCGAGTTGTTCCTCCAACTTTCGAAGAGATTCAGGTGAACCGTTTTCACCAAGTGCACGAATTCGTGCGACGACCTGCTCAGATATATCGGAGGCAGCCTACAATGCTATATATCATGCGATCATTTGCAAAACATACTCAGAGATATTGAGCTGGTGATCTCGTTTCTCGTTCGCCCTTCATTAGAGCTTACATGCATCGGCTTATACAAACGAGGACTGTTCGAATTACACGAAGAGATGCTGTACCGATCTTGGTTCAACGAAATTGATATAAGCCTTATTGGATCCCAAACGGTAGGCAGTTATCGGTCCTGAGGTAAGGGGGTAGGCACTCACGGCCTTGGGAGACATTCAAAACAGGGCATTTTAAAACGCTGGTAAGTGACCCAGGCCTAAGAAAGGAGATTAAAGCGAGGGAGTACGAAAATTGCCCACATCTCCCTCAAAGTCCTTTCCCCTCTTCGAAGCTTACCATTGGTCCCAAGTACCATAAGTGGTTCACACAGTTCCACTTGAATGCCCCCTCCACCCAAATATCATCAGCTTCCGAAAATGGGTACGCACTATGACCTAGCACACTCTCGCTTCTGCCACGCAGTAATTCCATCACCTAACCATGAACCGAGCGCGTGTTGCAAACTCAGAGGTGGCTTTGGGGGTGGATGAGCCACCCAACGTGTAGCGAAAACTGGAATATGCGAGGCCCACACGCTACATTTCGTGCTTATCGCAATTCCTTACAAATCAACCTTTTTTTACGCTTTTGTTTACGCCACTTGTTTCAGTTGAAAACACCCTTAATAAATCTCTTCACGCAAACTGTGGCCTATTGTTAATAAAATTAGCCATATTGTTCGGGGCTGTCATAGTTTAAGAGGCACGTTAAAGATGCGGAAAGGGCGACTGCGCTAGTAACAGTGATGCTCAACCGATCCATGTTTCACTACCTCTGGCTGAAATCCAAGAAAATAGGGCGATGCAGGAACCCTGTCCCCGTCAAGGTAGAACTTCAGATTCCTATATTCTTTGAGCGGTTATCACGGGAAGAATCTATCTTTGTATGACTATTTACTTGATTACAAGTGGATTATTGATTTTCTACAAATTGGACAGAGCGATAGTCATAAGCCGACGCGCACGTAGTGAAATTGAACGCGCTTGTGATGCTTCTTGACCTTATTTTATGCCATGTGTGTCACAGGTGCTTTCTTATTCTGTTGTCCGATCGTTAAGATCGTTACCGGACGGCTACGAGAGCGCCCAGTGTCCGATCTTGCAATTTCACGATCGCATGATCGGTCGTATCTCCTCCACACAGGAGCTGCAGATAAAATGCAGCGTAGGCGTAAGTTATGACACCTTGCATTACGAAAGCTGTCCTTCCACTCCTGCCCCGCCCCCGCACAAAACGGTGTAGATAAAATACGCTGAACTTCCACAGTACCAAATCACAGGCGATGAACCTTTGTTGTAATAAAAAGAA